GGTAGGATTTTTACCTATTTCCTCCCTTCCTGTGATTTGTCCTTTCATTTTCTTTTGGTGTTACTTTGAGGCACAAAAGTTTTCCATTTTGACAAAGCCCATTTTTTTGAGATGAAATTTTGCTCTGTCACCCAGGCTGGAGTGTAGTGTCACAGTCTCACTCACTGCAGTCTTTGCCTCCCAGATTCAGGCAGTTCTCCTGCCACAGCCTCCCAAGTAACTGGGACTGCAGTCACATACCGTGACACCTGGCTAATTTTTGTGTTTTTAGTAGAGATGGGGTTTCCCCATATTGGTCAGGGGAAACTGACCTATAAACTCCTGACCTCAGGTGATCCACCTGCCCCAGCCTCTCAAAGTGCTGGGATTACAGGCTTGAGCTACTGCACCCATCCTGACAAAGCCCAGTTTTTCTAATGTTGCTTGTGCTTTTGATGTCATATCCAAGAAATAGTTGCCTAATTCAAGGTCATACAGATTTACTCCTGTGTTTTCTTCTATGAGTTTTCTAGTTTTAGCTCTTACATTTAGGTCTTCAATACATTTTGAGTTAGTTTTTGTATATGGTGTGAGGTAGGGGTCCAACTTCATTTTTTTCACATGTGTATATCCAGTTGTCCCAGGACAACTAGTTGAGAAGACTGTTTTTTCCCTCCAGTTATTTTGGTACCCTTGTCAAAAATCATTTGACCATAAATGTGAGGGAGTGTTTCTGGAATCTGTTGATCTGTGTCTTTCCTTATGCCAGTACCACAGTCTTTATTCCTATAGCTTTGTAGTAAGTTTTGAAATCAGGAAGTGTGAGTCCTCCAATTTTGTTTTCTTTTTCAAGATCGTTTTGATACACAGAAGATTCTTTTTTTTTATTTTTATTTTTTGTAGCAACAGGGTCTTGTGTCAAGTGAGCCCAAAATTTGGGGATCACAGGCATGAGCCACTGAGCCCAGCCTCTCAGCAGAGTCATAAAACACACTTGTTGCTTGGTTGCTTGCTTTCTTGTTTCCTTGATGGACTGGCCAGCCTGTGAGAACCTAGCTGGCCTGCACGCTTAAGTGAAAAATTCCTCTCCCTACTCCAGCCTCCCTTCATAAGGCATTTGGCCAGTATAGATCTAGGCAGTTCTGGCTGAGCTGTCTTAGTACAGGGCAAGGCAATAAAAAACATTTGGCTGGTTGCATCTGGTCCCTCAAGCAGGAGATCTAAATCCAACTCATCCTTCCCCCACCCTCCCCAAAACATCTCAGCGTTCCTTCCTTGCCTTGCAGGCTTGGAGTCTGGGTAGTTAGAGTTCTATCTAGACCCACTTCTGGCCACATCACACCAGCTTTTCCCTTGTGCATGTCATCCTGCCACTCTCCTGCCCCTTCCTAAGCATGACTCAGGGCAAAATGGAGTTTTGCTCTTGTTGCCCAGGCTGGAGTGCAATGGCATGATCTTGGCTCATCACAACCTCCGTCTCCTGGGTTCAAGCAATTCTCCTGCCCCTTCCTAAGCATGACTTATGGCAAAATGGGCAAAATGGTGCAGGATGGAGGTAGGGCTAGTGCAGCAGCCTGGCCTCCCTGGTGGCATCTCTAGTCACCCCCATAGGTTCTTTATGGACTCAACAGAGTGTCACTTAAGCTGCAGGTACTGATTTTGCTGATGGATGATAACATTTTCTTCTTCCCTGTTGGGCTTTCAGTCCTTGCCTTAAGGAGAACATAAAAAAAAGTGGTGGGAGGCCAGGTGCAGTGGCTCACGCCTATAATCCCAGCACTTTGGGAGGCTGATGTGGATCACCTTTGGTCGGGAGTCCAAAACCAGCCTGGCCAACATGGAGAAACCCCATCTCTACTAAAAATATAAAGTCAGCCGGGCGTGGTATCAAGCATCTATAATCCCAGCTACTCGGGAGGCTGAGGCAGGAGAATCGCTTGAACCCAGGAGGCAAAGGTTGTCTTGAGCCGAGATTGCGCCATTGTACTCCAGCCTGGGAAACAAGAGCAAAACTCCAGCTCAAAAAAAAAAAAGTGATAAACCTACTGGGTGCAGCGGTTCATGCCTGTATTCCCAGCACTTTAGGAGGCTGAGGTAGGCAGATCATTTGAGCCCCAGGAGTTCAAGACCAGCCTGGACTATGTGGCAAAACCCTGTCTTTATAAAAAAATATAAAAATTAGCCTGATTGGTGACACATGCTTATACTCACAATTACTCAGGGAGGCTGACGTGGGAGGATCACCTGAGCCTGGGGAAGTCAAGGCTGCAGTAAGGCA